AATTAAGAGATTCCAAACCAAGTTACTCCACGACGTTTCGATTGTTAGTATCCACAATCGTCTTCGGGTGATGACCAGTCATCATACCAACTAATTCTACATATTCAATGCTGAATATACCTCATTCTATAATTTGAAGTACCTATATTTCAAGTACCTGATTTTTACCTAAGTTTGTAATGAATTAAATTACCTGAGCCAATGTCCTAGTTTCCACATTTGAAAAAATATTTAGTAACGGGGAGTTATTCAATTCCAATTGAGCATTCAGTTAATTACCGAATTCCTGCATCTATTGATTACTGAACATTCTAGAAGATTGAGTTTCAAACTCTTCTCTTCTAAATGTAACACATCGTATTCATAATTGAACTCATGTCCTTCTGCTAAAAGGTGGTTTGCAGATGTGGAATTGGTCTTTTTAACTTACAAAACTACTTGTATGCTCTTTAATTCTTTGTGAAAATAGTCTCCCTGTTTGGCCAATATACAGTTTTGGGCAAGAGCCACAAGTCAGCTTATTTACTCCTGATCTCCTGAAGTATCGACCAATTCCACCACATTTAATATGAAATCATTCGATTATTACTCATAGATCTGAAGATTCGCCACCAAAATGATCTGAATTTGCATGATTGGAAAAGAATACGTTACTTTTTCTGAAACGTCAGCTGTTTTCAAAAAGTTCATCCAAGGATAATTGCCTGTAGTAACACCAAAAAGAATTTTTGGTGCTAAGTTCAGTACGTGATAATATACGAATTGATAAGAGATGCATCAAAATTGAAGTAAAACGTATATTTTTGATGATCAGATGTTTAATATCACAATCAAATAGTGTTATTTTCGACAACAGCTGTCAACCGGTTAATGAGTTCCATTGACCAAACCACCGCGCTATTGTGAATGTCGGTTCAATCTCAACTCTGGGACGATCGTGTTTACTGCATATTATTCAACCCGTGCTAGGAATCGCACATAGAGAAACGACAACTGGTTAACCTATTTGTGCCCAGAGGGTCATTAATGACCCAACGCTCTTTTTAATTTCTGTCGCACTAGTCGCTACAAGTTGAGATGAAATCTTTAGTTTTTTGTTCAGTCATCATTCCAACTTTCGTCTGAATTCTTCGATTTTGTTCTGCAGTGAACCAGTAAGAAGGGATATAGAGGTGAAATCGGTTCATTGCAATTTTGAAAACATGAATCACAAATTATATTGGTGAGTGAGCATTAATCTTTTTAGTCATCCATTTTAAGTGACAACTGGGAACTTAGATACCCAATTCATTGAAATCTAGTGAAATGAATGAAGATTTACGTTATTCATAACTTGAAAATTGAAAAATAATTTACATGGGTAGTTATCGACCCCTTGGGCAAATTTTAGTATGTTATTTCAGGAAAAAACGCTCACTACAGCTGAACTGTTGGAATAAATAGAGAAGCTTGATGATGATGCTGAGATGTCCAGTGATCTTATCATTACACCTCCTAAAGATAACGGATTTGATACAGATGCTGATTCCGGTGATGAGGATTGTAACGATCTGTTTATGACTATTATATCAATTTTGATGTATACCAGGGAATAAGAAGTTTCAGATGTAGGATTGGGTGAATCCGTGGTTTTGCAGTTTTCCGATATATTAAAAAATTATTAAGAAAACTTATCATTTTCTTTATTCTTTGATAACTTTTTCACAAATGCCACTTTGATATCTTAATTAGGAAGATTTGGATTTGGTGGTACAGGTACAGTAAAAGAAAATCGTACCGACACCTGTCCGCTGGAAAACAAAAAGACAATGAAGAAGAAAGTAAGAGGAGCTCATAATTTTGTTTCGGATATAAAGAATAATATCATTTCCGTACAGTGGAATGACAATAGTGTAGTTACTCTGATGTCCAATGAATTTGGTGTTACACCGCTTCAAACATCAAAAAGATATTCTGCACAACAAAAAGCTAAAATTGATGTACCCCAACCATACCTGATATCTCAATATAATAAAAATATGGAAGGCGTCGATCTTATATATATTTTTTTCAACATTTTTCTGAAATATTGAAAGGTTTCCAACAAAAAATAATTCTGGGCATGAAAAACACATATTTCGACACCCATTTTTTAACTTTTCAGTTCAGTCATCTGTTTTCCCCCAAGACTACGCCTGTGTATGCAATATTTTCAATGCTGATTACTCGAAATAATACACCAACTACATTCAATTCGTAAAACAGATCCTCATCGACATTTATAAATAACAAAATAAACAAATCTATGAATATGTATGAGGCGTCCTTGGTATGAACTCCTCAATCAGTTTACTTCTTCCATTTTGCATTCATAAGAAAAATGTATCTCTCAACGTGTTTTTCATTTACAACAATGAGCGCAATTAGCGATTCCGTTTGTGGATTTATGTAATCATCTTTAAGAATGCTCAAGTAATTTTTATTGAGAATTATGAATAGAAGTTCAATATTTTGTTACAAGAAATATACAAATTCCATCGTATATCAAAATCATAAACTACTCCATATTGGCATCAAAGTCTGGTATATTGGCGTTTCCTGCAAGAGCATCAAGAAGGATTTTAGGATTTACTCCTTAAATCCCTAGTAAACATAATAAACTTCATGTCTCCCAGTGAATTGAAAAAAAAAGATATATATTTGGAAACTTCGATATAATATTCTCCTGTATACGAAGAAGAAAAGTATAACTTTAATCTGGAGAATATATATATTGTGACACAACTAGAAATACAAATCAATTCAAAGAACTAAGATTATTAAGAAAAAAGGAAAGAATAAAAAAAAGTAAAGAAGGAAAAAAAAACACACACATCAAAGGTGCTGCTTCGTTCCCTCCTCTTCATAAAAGAGGACATATGCCTCACAATTGATTTTGGCGAAATTGGGAACACCTATGAATCGTTGTATTCATGCCATGTGCCACTATATGGGTGTCTGCAATATGCTGTGTAATGTCCGTTGTAAGTATTCCCACTGTGATTTGAAAGTGCATATAGATTATAATGACAAGGAGCCACATTCTCTGCTGCATAACTGCTCATATCTAATCCATCTGAAGAAAAGTCAATGGAAACATTCAATTTACCACTGAACCTTTCCGTCGGAGAGAATTTTTTCAAATGAATTACTAAAATACAATGAATTTTCCCTTCAGCTACGTTATAAAATATAAACCTTGAGTTTGCAGCTTTTCTCGGGATTCGATTGTTTTGCCCTCCATTCACGGTCTTACGCGACTCTTTATCAACTAAACTGCATACTTTTGCAAATTTTCTTCCTTCTGTGAATGATGGCTTTCCTTTTTTCCGTAGCTGTTTTCAAGAAACGGGCAATAGATAACTCTCTCAGTAGCGTATAAACAAAGAAAATATAATTTTATGATCACAGCAAAAACCACTATCCAATTTTCAAGTATAGTTTCATTTTTGGAATCATTCACATTGAATGAATTATTGATAATATTGAACAGATAAAAAATTATTGAGGTGTAATAATTCAACCTGAATACTAGTCATCAATTTACAAACTGAAATATATTCCAGGAGAGTTTTACCTATCAGTCAGTCAATTACGGCAGTCATCAGACACAACATAATTACTTCAATTCTGAAGAAGTTGAGTCTCAAATTCATTTTAATAAATATGTGATGGATTTGGTTGATTATAGTTGATGAAAACCTCTTACGTATTCAAGCATTTTTTTAAGGTCTGCGAACAATCAGTAGTGGCTGGGAGAAACATCTGGTGAATACGGTGGATATGGAAGCAATATTGAATAGCATCAGCAAAAAAAACTGAAAGGATTGGAATGAAATACATTGGTTATCTTACTTATCCTACTCCCAGTTATATTATAAATGCGTAAATACACTTTTCTCCTGAAAAAATTTCAGTCCTGAAAAATCCGAATTTGTCTCACTTCTTATGGAAACACCCCCGTATCTTCCCTAATATTCGAGGTGGAACGATGAAACTCTCAGGACTATGACAAGTATTGAGCAAACAAATCTCGACCAAATGGTCAAAACGTGACTAATTTCAATGGCAAACAAATAACTGATTTGATTCCTAAGATCAACAAAAACGATGTTGAGGCAATATGATGTAATTTTCAAACTATCACGAGAATAACCGGCCAACAGTGGCAATCAAAATTTCAAACCATTCACACACTCACCGTCTACTACGAAAATACAGTCCATTCATTCGAAATTTATGAAGTTCTAGTGTTTTTGTCTCCTTCTTTGAGTGGTATTTTTTTATTTATGAAAGATAGTTCAGGAATTCAGACTTTACCATCCATTTTCTTCAAACTTCTCAATTCTGGATATGTTCAGAATGCTCCTAGGTCCAACTTATACAGACCATTTTGTCAAGTACAGTAGGATTCGGTGATGATAAAAGAATACTGCAAGTATCTGTTTATATATTTTCACTGTTTCAGTGTTTTTATTATTGTATAACATTTTGAATCCTCTTCCTGAAAAAAATACCGTTTCTGCTGATTGCCTTCGAAATTACTTCTGTTGACACTCCAATAGTAATCATTGAACTGATCATTCAAATAGTTCTCATTCTCTTGTGGAGAGATGTATAAACTATTCTGTGAAATTCAACAGTGAATTGACACAAATTTTCACCAATGTTCTCAAGGTTATCTGGCTTTCTGGTTCATCTCGATTGAACGAGACTGATTCATAGTTTGTGGAAGCAACTTCCGATTTAACTTTCGACAAAATATCCGATTCTCGTTTGTTCAGTGCCGATGATATACAAAACAAAAAAAACAAGATTATTCATCGGCAAATAATAATAATTCAATTATCGCCTGTTAGGTTTGATTATGATAACGTTTCTGATAATTTATTTGGCAAACTATTTTAATTTGGTGGTATACAGATTGTATTAGTTCCCCTTTTCCATGTTTGTATATTTCTTCGGGATTATTCACTGTTTGCAGTTGCCTGTGTAAGAATTTTTTTTCCTGGTGAATGTGGTGATTGAATAAATGACAAGACTAAAGGAATCATTGGAAAGCCCAGTATCACACCTGGTGAGTCCCCTGAAAATCTGTTCGTTTATTCATTCATTTATTCCTCACGACAATTTACTGATGTTTAGAGAGAGTGATGAATCCTAATCATCAAGACAGGAGGCTTACGAAGTAGCCATGAGTATTACGTCTTTTGTTCCTCCACCTCATTCAACTACTTGGGAATTTTCTTTTTGAACGCAAGGAACCAGAAGTTTAGTTGAGAGTTGAAATTGAAATGTGTATATAAGATATGTCATCAATGCTTCTGACCCGTACCAGTCCAATCGATTTAATGCGCATTTTGCTACAGTGCCAGTGTAGCGAAATAAACTTTATTGCGAAAATTGTATGATTATTATCATGAGACGTTGTGGACTTTTATATTTCTCATAAATTTTGTATTAAACTTTTTTCAATGAGACTTCAATTCATTTTGTCCACTGAGCATATTTCATGCATTCATGCTTGACGACTGAAAACTCAAGTTTTCTTTATTCTGTGACATGAGTTCTTGTACGTGTTAGTTAACTAATACCATCAAAACAAAGACACCTGCGTAAAGAAAGCAAGCACTCTCGATACTTCTGGCGAGTTGAATCAGCAATGCTTATGTAGCTCAATTCAATGTGAGGAAGTCCACTGTAAATGCATAGTCTTTCACGATACCAGCGTGTTTAATACTGCGAATACAAGTATACGTGATTTTGTCCAGCAAATTGTCGAGATCTTTTATTTTCTCACAATGAAATATAAGGTGTTTAACAATAATTCGCGATCTGGTTTCATGTTGTGTTTTGAGAAAATAGTTCGTTGTATTTATGCATGTCGATTTATTTGACGTAGAGTAATAACAGAACAAATATACATAAGCGTTATGCAGAGCAACATGCATAAACATGGTTACGGGTGACTGGGACTGATTTTAGGATCGGTACAGCCTTTCTCAAGCGGAGCTAAAAGAGTACTAGCCGTACTCAGCTGTCTCAGTCGAGACAAGCTGAAAAATTGACATTCTCAGAGTATGATGTGAATAGAAGACTAATAAGTTTCAAATCTACAGCTAGTAAACTTAAGATTTTTCTAATATCTGAAAATCCAAGATTTCATTGACGATCTTACTAACACTTAGAGTACCTACTTTTTCTTACTTCTTTTGCTCAAAATATGAGGATAATCGATTGTATGGAACAACAACAATTACGAAGTTAGATATATGGTATGGTATTTAGACAATTCGTTACAGATAAAAAACTTTTGTCAAATTTCCACATTTTTAGTTTGGTTTTCACTCATTTGAAGCTTGGCTGTTTGTTCATATCCTAGACACCGAGGTGCCGAATTTATTGTGAATATTTCCCAGCTCCTAGTCAATCAAGAGTTCACGAGTCTGATGTGATACAACCAAAAAGGTATCTTTGAAACTCAAAGAAATGACTATTGTAATGCTCTAATAGGTATTATCAATGAAAGATCGATTATGATGAAATTGGCTCTTATTTCTATGGAATGTAGAAACTTCGAAGAATACAGTTATTTTGAACATATACATATAATTTGGAACATATACATAATCAGAAACCACATACGGGTGAAATATCTTTTTGGTCGCGGAATAAAGCCCAGCTCTGTTATATCGCTTTATCGATATTCCTGACGTGATAGTCTCATGAGAAAATACAGTAGATGGTGACCATGAATAATTATGACTGGGTTGAAACAGTAATATTCTTTGTATAGAAGTTTCCCATTCTCAATATAATAAAGAAGAATCAGAAAGTCAAGTAGTCTCTGTCCATTGAAAAATCAACTTTTCTCTATAAAGTTTTTGCCATTGGCCAATTCCACTCAAATACGAAACCCATCAATGAGGTATACAGTGTGTCTCACTTCTCATGGAAACACCCCCGTATCTTCCGTAATATTCGAGGTAGAACGATGAAACTTTCAGTACTGATGGAAATGCTCAAAATGCTCCTACCACTTGCATGGGGTTGGCCAAAATGATATACACTGTCCGCCACTCGCGATGGAACACCCCACTTTTACGGTAAAACATATTAGGGGGCAAAATAGGCTCAAAATTTCTTCAGATTCATGATTAGGACTACCAAATTACTACGGATACACTTTTCTCCTGAAAAAATTTCAGTCCTGAAAAATCCGAATTTGTCTCACTTCTTATGGAAACACCCCCGTATCTTCCGTAATATTCGAGGT